AGTGAATAATGCGCATGCGCTGTTTTTCTTGGGGAAACATTTTAACTACGCATGCTTACGCAGCAGGTTCTCTGTCAGAAAGTGTAACGGTCGTAGATACAAACAAGCAGTATTACGTGTTTACCCTACAATAAATTATCTAACAATTACTTCTTTCTAGTAAAACATCAATTAATAATTGCCTATTCGGCAATATATTATTTTCCGTAAATATTAAATAATGTTTTTCCTTTACAAATTTTACAACTGTTGGACGAATTTCTCCAGTGAATAATTTGGTAATGTACATCAGTAAAAAAATGTATATGTAAAGTCAGAAACAAATAATACATGTTCTGTAGCAATTAACATTACTAATAAATGAGCACATATTTATTTTTACATCTACACAATATACCTTTGAGGTACTATGAGATATAGCACTCCCTTTTACAGAATAAGCAGCAGCAAGAACCCATTCATTGCAAATTACGAAGATTTCGTAACAGGATTAATTAACTAACGATGAAATTAACATTTTGTAGATGTTGAAGTTTTATTACAACAATGCGAATTGGCTGCTAAAAGCTACTATCAGAAAAGGTTTTCAGTTACAGAAATTATTATGTAAATTGTTGTATTATACAGTTCTTAAAGAAATGTAAGTTTTGCTTTAAGATGTTGTTAATTCAATATTATACATGTCACGATGTTTATGTAAAGATAGTTTTGCAATGAATGTTCTCGACTGGAGTTGTAAAGACAATTGTTCTTATCATTATGGTAAACTAGTTTATTAATCTAGCATAACTAATGCATGTAATCTAACATGCCATTAACTAAGGTACGTTCTCCATGTTGCGCTATTCTATATCTTTCATTATACATTATCTGTATAATTCTAACATTCACAGATCGATTTATTCTGTATTAAGAGCAAAACTCGACCAAATAAATATAGGAAATAAACTTGTATTCATTCTTCTACACATATAACAAACACCAACAAAAAAAATTCCAGAGTTGAAATTTATCCATTAAAAAGCTTATTTGATTTCATACATATATAATTTAATTGGCATTTTGATTTTGGGTTGATTTCAACATGCTCCGGCTAAATTGTTAGTGTTTGTGAATTTCTTAATCTTTATCTAAACATAATACTCTTAAAGAGCTGTAATAGTTGTAAACAAAATAGCTCTAATTTTAATTTTAACCTGATTGTTTGTTGATTATGGGAGTTTGCTGTGACAGGAACAGCATGCACACTGCTACTTCTTGGCGAGAAACCCCCAAGCCACAATACAACACTCCACCAATTAACGCCTTCCACGAGCTAGATATCACCACCTACTTACCCATACCTATAAATATACACCAACAGTAATCACAATTCACACAACATTCAGCCTTGATAATGGATGCATTCGAAACGCGTCGGCCAACTCATCACTAGCTACAACTTTTACCTGTTGTTCTAACAACGTTAAGACGGCTTATCGACTTCTTGAGAAGAATTCTAAGAAGAAAGTAAACCTACAGACATCGGTCTTGTTTAACAAAATCTGCCTACAAGAAAATCTGTCACCAAAGTACACCAACAATAAAAAATATATGTATATATCAGCCCTATATTCCTCGCATTATTAAAATACTGTACATTTTTTTACAAATTTCTTATTGAAATAAATCTGTATTGCCCAAAATATATTTTTATTAAATATATTTCGGTAAGTAATAAATGTAACATGTAACATTGTCCAGTTGAGGAACCAACAAAAATAATTCCATGATATATTTAGAACTGTTGCCTGGAGATAATTAAACAACAAAGATAGATTTGTTACCTGTACATTACAATGTGAAATGTAGGGTTAACCACTCAATATGTTATTATCGACTGTAAATAATATTTGAGTTAGGCCTATCTTATTATATTCTTACAGTATATCGCATCTAAATCATTCTCCATTAATTAAAAATTTGTTGAAATGAGTAATAATTAAAAATACTTACGCTGCACACGTAAATACACAACATTGCTCTTCTCACTTCCTTCCGAATTTCCTGCCGAACAGTAGTAGTGACCTCTACTGGCGAGTCTCACTTTTTGTAAAACCAGCGATTGGTTGCTGACTATGACACCCACTGTTGTGTTCGTTTGAATTTCTTGTCCTTCAAATAACCAAGTGATCTCGGTTACCCTCGGGTTAGCTCGAATGTTGCATTCGAAATAAACATCATTTCCTTCTTGAATATGCGAATGGCGAAGCTTACTTCCGAGTCTGAGTGTCACTTCCGGTGGATCTGAAAATAAAACATTAATATAATTTTCTTTCCTATTTTAATTGTCAGTAAAATATTCACAAAAGGAAATACAATTTAACACATATTAAATAAAACAGGAGAGAAATTGTACGATCTAGATGTACAAAACAAGAATTTAAATTAGTAACTTTTAAGCGAATAATCTGTTCCTTTTAATAATTGAAAAAAAATCAAGACGTTAATTGTAGCCATTTTGAATAACTTAGATATTTTTTAATATTCTGTGCGGTTTCGATTGTGTAGTTTTGGGCTTAACAACAACCAAGCGTGATAGTGTGTAAAAGTAGAATAATGTGTTAATTTAAGTCACTTTGTATAATTTACATATATTTTAATATTCTGTGGATGTAACGTTAAATACATGGTAATTTAAGTCATTATTTAAAAACGGATGCTCCCTTTTCTGTTCTAATTTATTTTGTCTGTCTGTTATTAAATTCAAAGCTACATAATGGGTTATCTTTGATGTGTCCACCACGGGTATCGAAACCAGGTTTTTAGCGTTATGTCTTCATATATATATAATGCTATATTAAAACGTTATGTACACATACTGATTAATATATAATATCAGTATGTGTAATAATTAATAATAATTAAATTATTAATTATTATATATTATATAATAATAATAATGAAAGTACATACCCAGCGTTCTATTTTTACTTACTTTTAAAATGTAATATTTTTATTTTATTTTAACGAAAGATTAATTTAACTCGTAAACCAATAACAGAAAATTACCAAGACAAACGTTCAAATTGTACGGCTACATTTAGTACGATTATAAAGTTTGTTTGGATAAATGTTAGATAGTGTAATTTACTTACAGTACACTTCTAGCCGCCAGGTGTCTTCTATGGCGCTGTTCCGTATTTCAGGATTTTCTGCTTTACAAAATAAATATTTTCCGTTGTCTTCCTTTGAAGGCCGAAAAGTTAGAATGTTGTGATTTAGGTTTCCATCTTTTTGTTTCGTTCGGTTTTTATTCGACATTAATTGTTCCGAACCTTTCCACCAGGTTATATCGGCCGGTGGACGAGAACCGTTGGTACGACACTCAAGTTCTATCACTTTCCCCGAAGACAGAGGTTGTCGTCTGTCTAGTATTCTTACTGTCATGGGTCTAACTGGAAAAATTTGAATTATTAATATACTTCACCATTAGTTTGATCTACGAACATGATTAAATACCGAACTTAGAATTTGTCTGAAACAACACCCCCTACCATTTTGCAGTCATATATTTAACGAAATATTTTGAGTGATATGCTTAGAAATCGTGTTAAAGTAGGTTATAAAAAGAATTGAATTTATCAGTATTATATCAGTCGTACAGTCTCTCGAAGTTTTGTTTTGTTGGAACCACAAGAAAGAGTATAGAGTTACGATCTGGTTGATAATAAAGGTTAGTTCTGGTTGACAGTAAAGGTAAGTTCTGGTTGATAATAAAGGTTAGTTCTGGTTGACAGTAAAGGTAAGTTCTGGTTGATAATAAAGGTAAGTTCTGGTTGATAATAAAGGTAAGTTCTGGTTGACAGTAAAGGTAAGTTCTGGTTGACAGTAAAGGGTTGTTCTGGATGACAGTAAAGGTAAGTTCTGGTTGATAGTAAAGGTTAGTTCTGGTTGATAATAAAGGGTTGTTCTGGATGACAGTAAAGGTTAGTTTTGGTTGACAGTAAAGGTAAGTTCTGGTTGATAGTAAAGGTTAGTTCTGGTTGATAGTAAAGGGTTGTTCTGGATGACAGTAAAGGTAAGTTCTGGTTGATAGTAAAGGTTAGTTCTGGTTGATAATAAAGGTTAGTTTTGGTTGACAGTAAAGGTAAGTTCTGGTTGATAGTAAAGGTTAGTTCTGGTTGATAATAAAGGTTAGTTTTGGTTGACAGTAAAGGTAAGT